CGGGGGCGGGCCCGGCCGGAGGGGGCGGCCGCGCTGACTCAGGGCTCAGGAATGCGCGCGGCCTGCCTGATCACCTCCTCCGGGAAGGCCGCTGAGCTCCGCTCTCCCCTGTGTCCCACTGCGAGGACACCTGTGACTGCGGGTCGTGAGTGACTTGGCCGAGGAGGGAAGACCTGGTAGCCCAGATGGACAGAGCCTGATGGTCAACTACAGACCTGTGCTTCCCAGTCTCCAGAACTCCAGAGTGAGTCCTGACCTTATCTGCCTTGATTTATGCTTGGGAAAAGGGGGAGGGAACAGACAGGAGTGGGGCGGATGTGGGAGGCGAGGCTCAGGGGAGAGTGTCCCCTCCTGTAAACCTAACCTCCCCAAACCTCTCCCAGTGGCCCACACTGACAAGTCACTTACCCTACACTCCCCCAGCCTCACTCGAGCACTCACACTCCGCACACATTCACACTCATACACACATGCTCATGTATTCATGCATTTACACTCATGCTCACCTATTCATTCACATACACCTGTTTACACAGACTCATACACACGTCCACTAGTACGATCGTACACACTTTTATGCCCTTTCACACATTTACGCACATGCACATAACCACAATTATACACTACCATTCGTGTTTACACGCTCACGCACACTCACGCACACTCACACTCACACCAAAGGCAGGATCAGAGCAGTTCCCCCTTCCCCAGGCTGCTCTCCCAGCAGGCACTCACAGGCCAGGCAGGCTATGCCTACAGCTCCTAAAACCCATGGAGCAGCGGCAGCAGCACAGTGTCTGGCATCCACTGTGTTCTTCCCGTTCAGAGCTCACCAGCTGCCCCTGGTGGGGTCATCTCTGTACTCTCTGAGTTGGACACGATATGGCCCATCTGCTCCTAGGCTGAAGCTGCTGGAGGGAGGTTTCCAGCATTCTTCTCTCCTGACATTGCAGGAGTCCGTGGGGCCCAGCAACCCAGAAAAAGACCCAGGAATGGGGGGAGGGGTACCAATAGCAGGGTACAGGCAGGAGCTGAGAACGGTACAGGGCCCCAGGCTTCCCCTAGGTAGTCAATACGAAGGTCTCCCTTCTTCCCTCAGAGAAAACAGAACTAGGACCATGGGTCTCCTAAGGACCCTTCCATCAGATGCTAGAACACATTGGGCATTTGAGTCTCAGCCCCTCAAGCCTCAAAGGGCCCCCAAATGTGTCCTCAGGCCCTTTGCTAGTTGGGGACCAGATGGCACTATCCCTCTCTGAACTGCGTTGCTGCCATAGCAAGCTATGTGCAGTGTCTGACTGCAGACAACCTGGCCCATGGCTACGCATAAAGTAAACAACGTGAGATGGCAGCCCACTTACAGGTTGACCCCAGAGCCTGGGCGAGGGACAGAATCCTCTGACTGTATCTTCATCCATACCATGGGACAGAGCAGTGCCTGTACATACTGGGTCCTCTATGCACACGGGTATATCAACATGATTCTTAGGTAAAGGAAGACAACGAAAGCTTTGGAGGGGCTAGAGGGGTCTCCTTCACTAGTTAGAGGGATGGCTACAAGTGCACTAGGGACACAAGGCAAGAAGGAGACTGCCCAGTGCTAATGCCCAGGACTCCTGCAGCCCACACGTGCCACCCCTCCCATTACAGGCTCTCAGCCAGAGACAGAACAGTCTCATGCCCAGCATTCTTGACCCCTGCCAGGGATAAGCAGGCCACGCCCACCTGGATGCCCAGACTGGGCTGGCAGGGTGTGCAGCAGTGTCCTCTTCAGAGTCCAGGACCTGGGCTCACCTCCAAAGCATGCCATGGCTGGACATCCGGTGCTGGCAGGACCCATCCTGCTGTGGATGCTGCAGGGTGCCACCCAGACCCACTCCATGACCCAGACACTCCTCAGCTTCCAGGAGTACAGCCATAGCTAGCTCACAGACGAGAACTCCCTGAGGAGTCACCTTCAGTGGACAAGAGCTTCCTTGTCCAAAATCATGCTTCCTTCCCCAGAAGGTGGTCTATGTGTCCACTGACAGGTAAATGGTCTCCCCCTGTATTCATTCGGGTTACCTCTGAAAGGCCGTCCCAGTTCTCGAGTTCCAGTGGGATCCACAGCAGCCTCTGCTGCAAACCCTCACTCTTCACAGGTGTTGCTCCCAAGGCATGCCCCAGTATACCCTGGCAGGTAAACCCAGGAATCCCAGGTTCTCTGCCCATCCTGGCCTCCTGAGCAAGGACCCTGGCATCAGAAGGATGGTATGAACAGAAGAGGGTCGACACGTGTGCTCAGGCCTGGGCCTAGTCCACAGGGACACATGTATGTACACACACATGCTCTGCCTCACGTGTGCTCCACTGCCCTATACCCTGGTGGAGAAGCCCCATACATGGAACCCCCACTCCTGTCGCCTCTATTCCCTCTTGACCCAGCCCTGTAGAAACAGAAATTAGCTGCAACTGCCTAGCGTGTGGACAGGTGACTGAGGATGGGCAAGTGTCTGGACCAGCCCCATGGCTGTGGACTTCACTCTGACCAATAGGAGTCCCTGCCAGCCACTCTGGAATCCTCAGCTCAGCAGGCCAGTCCCCGAGCGTAGGGGGGCCTGGATGAGCCCCAGACCAGCCCCTGGCTATTTGGGGAGGAAGTGGATATGGGCCAGGCCATCCAGGGGCCTGAAGTCACTGGCTATTTCTGAGGCAGCTTCCCCTCCCCATGTCTCGGGGTGTGGCAAGGGGTCCCGAGAATACCTGGGCATTGGCAGCACAGTCCCAGGAAGGGAGGGTGCAACCCATACACACCCCGTTCCACTGCCCTCTCTACCCAAAGAGCCTCTGAACCTCCCCCTACATGTCGACTCTTCCTTTGAGGGTGTCAGCCGTCCCTTCCACTATGTTAAAGAGAAAAGACACTGAGTCAGTGCTGGGGCTGGGGCTCTGGCCTCTATGGCTGATAGAGCTGCTGTCCTTTCTGTCAAGGCTCTGGTGACTGATGGCCCCTCCACAGGCTATGAACTGACCAGGAGAGGCAAAGAGCAGCTCACCTCAATGTTGACCCTTTTGAAAGCATCAAGGGTGTCCTCGCCTCCATCTTCCACTGACATCCTCCAACATGGCTTGTCCAGCCCAGAAGCAGGGCACACTAGGGATGGAGAAGGCCCCAGGCCCCTCCTCCCGCCTAGCACCACCTTCTCTTACTCCCAGCCAGCCTGCCCTGCAGGCCACAGTGCAGTGGGAATGCTTAACCCACCACTTCCAGCCTGTGGTGGGGCCTCAGACCACAAACCAGGAAGGGGGGCGGCGGGGGGGGAGCCCCCCTTTACAGAGGTTGCGCAAGCTCCTGCACTCAGGCCGGAACATCTGGAGAAGTGGGTTAGTGATGCAGGCCCTGCCGCTTCCTCCTGGGGGCCAGGGCTGCCCTGAGCCTCTCTTTCCTCATCCTCAAGGTTGGAATAAAACATCTCTCTGGGAACATGTGGACTCCCCATGATTTCTACCAGGACCATGTGCCATTTGTGAAATCAAAATAAAAACTTATACAAAACAGCACCCATCCTGCCCCTGCCCTCACTAGGGGGATGGGGCCTAACTGGGACCTCAGTTTCCCTCTGAGTGAGGGAGAAAGGGAAGGAAGGATGAAGTGGGGCCGGGCACACAGGAAAGCAGGAAAGGGGAGTCATTGTGTGGGCAGAATGGCTGCAGGGGGTGAGGAGGAAGAAAGAAAGGGGTGGGAGTCACATCCAGTCCTGCTTTACAAGCATGAGTTTATGACACATGGCCCACCTCCGGAAGCAGCACATAGTGCCACAAACAGCTGGGTGGCTTCCAGCAGGCAGCTGGAAGACTGCTGCTCCTCCCTCCCAAGGAAGTCCCTGTTGGGGCCCTGGGGTGGGGGTGGGGAGCTGGAGGGCTGGAGTTCAGTCCCTGGGCTGGTCTGAGGAGGAGGAGCAGTTGGAGACCAGCACCCTCCCAGCTGGACTTGTCCTGTGACCAGATGCCATGCTCATCTGAGAACCCCAGTCCCATAGCCCACCCAGTACATCCCATCTGACACCATCATATGCCCAGTTGCTCTGGGCGGCCCCATGGGTACCCCTTCCTAGGGCCAAGGGTGGGTTGTACAGGGTGTGGGACCGTATGCGCTACAGCAGAGGGGCCCTGCAGACCCAGATGAACTCTAGAGCGATAGAGTGAAGGGGTGGCTCTGCTGGGTGTTAGGACTGCACTCGCCTCCCACTGAGCCACAGAAGCTCCCAGAACAGCCCTGTGCCTAAACATCTACTACCCATGGCCCTTCTTTCTTCAGGACCAGGCACTGCCCTCCCCAGAATCCCCTCCCTCTACCCCTGGGGGCACAAATCTGACTTAAAACATTATAGGCAGGGCAGGCAGCAGGTGCTGGGTGTGGGGAGGGGCATCAGAGGTGAAAGGCAACAGTGTTCCCCATATTGCCCCCTGCCGCTGCCCTGCAAGGCGATGTTCACAGGTCCCCAAAGCCCTGGTACAGGCTGCAGCCTCTTGAGGAGGATGGCCACTCTCCAGCAGGCCCACTCCAGGATGTGGGCGGGCTCCTCTCGGCATACTTAGGCGGTGGGAGGGGTGGGGGCTGTTCTGCAGAGGCAGAATCCCAGGACCACCTGTGATGATGACTCTGGAGAGGGCTTCCGGACAAGCCTGGCATCCGCTTCCTGGACAAAGTCTTCCTGGCCCACTCCCCCGCCCAACCTGTCCTCTCCACCCAAATGCCCCCTCCCTACCCCCTCGCTGTGCAGGAAGGCTTGTCCCAAGAACCAGGTGTTCAGGCCACCTCCATCACGTGCCCTCCACGTGCACTCGACCACCACTGTGGGTCGCGCCCCCAAAGCACTACACCTCCAACCAGGACCCCCGTAGGGCCCAGTCAAGGTTCATGACGGACCAGTCGTCTTGGTGGTCTGACCACTGGCTGGTGGTGGAGTGGGCTCTACCGCTGTAGAGGGTGGACCAGGGTGCAAGCGGCGCGGGGTGGGGGTGCAGGTCACTGGAACTGGCGCCGAGTGCGGGGAGGGGGCGGGCTAGCCTCAACCCTAGCCGCTTCCCCACCCCCTTCTCACGCCACAAATGCTCCAGCAGCCTTGGGCCTTTCTCCAGGAAGGGAGGTGGGGCGCCAGGCAGGGAGAACGCTCCAGAGCCCTCGTCCCGGCGGGACACCTCCGTGTAACTCACCCCGGCCCCGCCTCCGGGGGCGGAGTCTGCGCCCAGCTCTGGAGGCCTCTCCCCCATAGGCATCCGTCCTCCTCTGCGCAGGCGCTGGCCACACCCCCGGGCCGGGGCGGTGCTTCCGGGGTCGACTCCAGGGTGGTCTTCACACCCTGCTGGTCCCTGCCAAAATTAGTGCTGGCGAAGCCGCGGGATGCCCTTGCGCAGCGGGACCCAGGTGAGTGCGGGTCCCAGATGAGTGCCCGCCCAGGTGAGCGCAATTCTCGCTTCGCGTACCTCCGAGGAGCAGGCTCGGAGGGCGAGAATCTCACCCGGAGTCGCACGACCGGGAAAAACTAGTAATGAGCGCACGGCCGGCCCGCGACCGAGGTCTGTGGTTCGCATACGAGCTCCCACCCGCGGGGTCGGGCCTGGGTTCAGCTCTGCTGCAGCATTTGCCGGAAGCAAAGTCGAGGCCCGGCCCGAAGTCGCCAGTGAGGGCTGAGAGGAGACCCCGACACCGGTTTCCTGGTTAAATGCTGGACTCTCAGGCCCAGCTCAGATGTCCCCTACCTCAGAGCCAGCGTGCAGACAGAAGTGACCATGGGGTTGGCCTAGAAGTTGGCCTGAGTGTCTGTCACAGCGTGATAAATGCTCTCCCTTTATTTACTTGTCTGCCCAGGTTTTGATGACGGACTGGTGGGTCCCCTGGAGATCTCCATCAGGCTAGGCTGTTTCCTGCCCTTCACTGAGTGGGCCCAGACTAGCAAGAGCCATCCCGAGTGGGTGGTGTTTCCTCCTACCATTCACTGAGTGCTTGCTGTATGCCAGCCCAGTGCCTTCCTAGCTTCTCATTTTCAGTGCAAGTTGTTGGTTTCCTCTCTGCAGATGAGGGAACAGAGGCACAGACACCTTCTGTTGTTTTCTGGGGCTCCTCACCCAGGGAACCCTCATTTCTAACCAAGGCCAAGTGATGCATGTGAGGCGCCCAGGTGCACGATTTGAGGCAGCATTCACCCTTGGTTGCAACAGTAGGGTCGCCTCATTTCTTAGCTCCCTGGTTAAACAGTCTGCGTTACTGTCACCACAAAGGCCTCTGAGGCAGGTTCAAATCTTAGGTCTGTAGTGGGAGCCGAGAGCTCTCTGAGCCTCAGTCTCTGGGCAGCCATGAGTCTTCCACCACGCAGGGTGGACCAGGGCAGAGACCTAGAGTGATCCAAGTGCCATGGGGCAGGCCAGGGGCCAAACTCAGGGTGAGAGCAGGGGTTGCAGTGCCCCAGAGTCTGAGCCGTGGGTTTTGGCAGATGGGCCCCCGAACTGCAAAGACAGTCACATCACTGTCCATTCTCAGCAGACGGGCGGTCTCCATTCGACATGGAACATCAGTCCTGATGTTAAAAATAATAAGTCTGTCACATGCTAGGGAGACATGGGTACTGCCGAAGATCAGCCCTTGAGGAAGGCCCCAGTGCTCACCTGCTCCCTTCATTGTCCCCCGTTCATTGGAGAGGCACTGTACCCAGAACAGCCAGGGGTGTGTGTTCAGGTCTCCCCCGCCCTGGCTAGGGGACTGGGTGACATGTGGTGGCAGGTGCCAGACAGAAGGTGTACAGGGACTCAGTGGATCCTCCTCATCCCTTGGGAGACCTCACCTTTGCCCTACTTGCTCCTTATCATTCTGACATCCTGAGTCATGAGGCAGAGGACAGTTGGGGACTCACTGGGGGTTATGTACTGAGCACTTGGAGTAGGGCCAAGCAGATAGTCAGCCTGGTATTCACCCACCTGTGTTTGTCAGACCTGGGCTATATGAGGAGGGGTCTGGCACAGTGCATTTGTCAGGTGTGTATGGATGATACTCTGACCCACAATCCATTCCTCAGCCAATTCCTAGTTAGGGTCACATGCAAAGGGCAGGATTCTAGAAACAAGCTCAACTTCATTGGGGCATGTGATAAATGAGAATCAGGGATACTGGTCCTCTTGTCACAGGCTTGTGTACCCACTGTCCCCTCCTTGGGTCCTGCAGCTGTTCACCACCAAGTCGTGCCTCTCCTGTATGTGGAGGGTGCACAGAGCAGAGTGGTCACCCTGTCACCGCTGCCACCAGGCTGTTCTCACATGTAGTCATTTTCCAAGGCCTTCTGGGGCCCATCATGGGGCTGAGTATGTCCGATCTGACATTCTATTCGCACCTTGCAACAACTCACAAAGGGGTCGCCCTCATTTTGCAGATGGGGAAACTGAGGCAGGCAGTCACAGACAGTCCTTAAGCTCTGCAAGCCTGGCTTCATCGCACAATAGTCTGCCCTCTCCAATTTATTTTGTCTTTTCCCATTACAGCTTTCCCGCAAAGTGTTACAAAAAAAGCAGCAGCCATTGGAGGCAGAGCGATATCAGCGCCTACCAGATGGAGCCCACACACCTTCCCCCAAGGAGCCCCACCTGGGGCCACCTAAGACCCTGGTCCCCCAGCTCAGCATCTATTTCTCAAGTGCCAAAAGCCACCCTGCTCGACTGGGATCAGACTTTTTCGACCAGCCTGCAGTCTCCCTGGCCCAGGCATTTCTGGGACAGGTAATATAAAAGTAGTGACATGGCCTCTGCTGAAGTGGTCATCACCGTGCAGCATCTGTGGGCCCAGACTCTCACTACTGGGCCCACATCCCTGAGTTGGCCCTGCTTATTCTCATGCAGTTAGCTGCTTTGCCCACACTTGTTCCTGGATAGCTTCACCTCGGTCAGCGGGGTGGGTCCGGGATCAGTTGGGAAGAATGCTGAGATTGATAGTGGCGTCTGCCCTGGGTGGAGGCAGGGAAGCCGCTCGCTGCCTGCCTGCCCTGGGTGCTGAGAACATTAGCCTTCTACTCCTGGTGCTGCCAGGGCAGGTTTCTTACAAGTGTCTTGTGAGGGGGGCTACCTTTGCCTGCCCTGTTCCCTGACACAGTCATGCCGCTCTCTAGCTTGTCTGTGTGTGTAGTAGTGACAGCTTTTAGCCACATGAGAGCTGTGGCCATGGCCTACAGGCTGCCTTGACATAGCCTCCTCCTCTCTGCAGCAGCTCACAGTGGCAGTGCTGGCTCCCCAGTGGCCCCCACAGCTCAGAGCAGGTCCAGGATCTGGAATGGGAATCAGGTACTACCCAGGACCCACGTGCCGGCAACAAGAGTTTTGGCCACATCTGTCTGGAGCACCATCTGGGTGTTGTTCTTGGGTTTCAAACTCCAGGCCTGGATTTTTGGTTCTCTTAGAGGTTCTATGGCCTACCCCGTGTCCTTTCATGAAGCTACCTTTAGGTTAAAGTGGCCAAAGTGAATTGGTTTCTGTGACTATAGAAAAATTGGTGCCAGGAGTTGGGTGCTGAAAGGAACATATCCTAAAATATGGGCTAGCAGAGTATAACCTAAGGGGTCACTTAGTGGGTAAAGACTAGATTCTGTTCCCATGAGAATGCTTCTGCTATAAGGGCCAGAAGATCCTGATAAAAGCACCCTAAATAATGAGGGTTTATGGTCTCACAGTGGCACATAAGGCAGGGGAGTCTCAGCATCAGGTCAAGGGTCCAAGGGCCTCAGTGTGTCACAGTCTCCCCTTAGGCTCCCATCATGCCTGCTTCAGCCCAGGGGTGGACAGGGCAATATCCAGTAGGGATGGGATCCCTTTATCCATTTTGGACAGAGAGAACAGCCTCCTTTAGGAGGACATTCCATAGATGTCCTTAGACCCCTTGGCCAGGCTTGGATCATCCCTCAACAGGTCATTGCAAGGAGAAATGAGTTGCTATGACAACCCAGACCCCTCTCGAGTCTCCCTCTTGGCTGAAAAGGGTATCCCCTCCCCTGGGACCCTCTACCAGCAGAGAGATGTGTTTGTAATGGGCATGGGTGGCAACCAACATCTGCTATCTGAAAATGATATGAGAATGAAATTCAGAGTGGAAGATTCAAATGAGAAAAGGGCCATGGGAAGCTCCTCTCCAGGAGGGCAACAAGGCCCTTCCAGGTGTGGAAACACGGAGCGTGAAGCTAACGAAGGCATGCCACCCTGATCTCCTGGAAAGATGGAAGTGAGGCCTTGTCCGAGAAGGAATGGGACCTCCCTTTCTTTCCTGGAGATGGGCTTCCAGGGGAAGTATCGACCTTCCCTCTTCCACCATTTCCAGCATCAGGTCAAGGCCTCGTCCAATGCTGCCCCACTGAGTGTCCAGGCTCCAGCACCTACCTCCCCATCCCGTGCCACCGACCCTGGCTATGGACATACTGGGTTCCCTGGGCTAAGGCAGATATAGCCTGGCCATCTGATTGCTCTGGCCTAAGGACAAGGCAGGTGCTGGGGACATTCCTGGGGACGTGGCTGGCCCCCAGAACTCCACTGCAAACCCTAGTCAAGCCTGGGACTCTGGACACTGGGCATGAGTATTGGCCATCCCCAGGGCCATATTCTGCCACACAGCCAAGAAATAGTCACCGCCATAGGGCAGGAGGCTCCAGGCTAGGGAGGACTTGACTCCCTGACATGTTTAGCACTCCACAGGCCCTCCCTGGTTCCCCTCTGGCCTGGGCTGCTCTCCTGGGTGCTCTGCTGGCCTGAGAACACCCACCCCCTCCAGTGACAGCCCTGGCAACTGCCCTTTGCCCTGTCCTCAGCTAGCCTGTCTGTCCTCTCCCGAACCCACCCCAACCCAGGGTGCTATTCAAGCCAACTGCAGCTAAGCTCATCTCTCTGCCCTCACTGACCCATTCCTTGTGGACTGGCTACACCCAGGGCCATGGTCCAGGCCAGGAGCACTGGGGGTCAGCCAGTCCTGCTGCTCAGAAAGGCCTTTCAGAGCTGGGTGGGTGAGAGCTGAGTATGACAGTCCTTCGTGGTTAGTCTGGGTTGAGGAAGCATCACAGGCTCTAGAGCATCCCAGGCAGCCATGTGGGGACACCACTGCTCTGTACCCTCCATGCTGCCCTGCCCCAGCCTAAGCAAGTTCAAGGGGACTTGGGGAGGGGTCGGCAGGGTGATGGAGGCAGTCCCTGCTGAGGACTTGGAGTGCGTGAATTTACTAGTGCTGGTGTGCAGCTCAGCAATGGCCAGAGCTTAATATGGCTGCAACCTGTGGACAGTTAGTGAGCAGAGCCTGTCGTCTAGTGGCCCAACAAGAAGGAGGGGACACTGGGGGGAACCTGGCTGGCCCTGGTACAGCCTGAGCTAGGAAAGTGAGGTCTGGCTGTGAACTCTCAGGTGGAGTGGGCCCATTCCTTCCTGCCCTAAGCAGACACTGACTGCCTGCAGGTCTTGGTCCGTCGACTTGATGATGGCACAGAGCTCCGTGGCCGCATTGTGGAGACCGAGGCATACTTGGGGCCAGAGGATGAAGCTGCCCACTCGAGGGGTGGCCGGCAGACCCCCCGCAACCGTGGCATGTTCATGAAGCCAGGGACCCTGTACGTGTACTTCATCTATGGCATGTACTTCTGCATGAATGTCTCCAGCCAAGGTGAGCAGTGCTGGGGTTGGAGCAGTGCCCCCAGCTAGTAGCTGGGAGATCCCCGGAAGGACCAGGATGGGCCAGGTGCTTGAGCAAGGAGGTGCCCTTGTTAGGCTAAGTCGGGGTTTCAAGAGCTCTGACTATACTCACAGGGTAGTCAGAGGGGCTGGGTGCCCCCATGGAATAGAGGTCATGTGTTGACCTGAACACAGGGCAGACAGGTTCCATGAGGCCACCACTGGTCCCAGAGCTCAGAACCGGTATCGCCAATGGCCCAGGGCAGACTCCAGAGGCAGGTCGT